GACTGGTTCCTGCGGGTCGTGGGGGGGTTACGAGGCCCCCGGCCCTGCGGGGGCTGCTCCAGCCCTGCTCTCTCCCCAAAAAGCAGGCAGGGGTTTGCTGGTTGCAGGCGCCCTGGAGCACTCGCAGCCCCTCTCCGCCCTGGCTGCCCTCCCCCGGCACCCCCAGCGTGTGGGGGCTTGTGGCAGAGCCTCTGCAAATGTGGTTTGCCCTGAGCCCGGGCTCCTCCGCCTGGCGTGTTTTCTTCCTGCGCCCAGATAACTCTTAATTTGCGGCTCTGCGCGCAGGAGATAATTTGAACACACCTCCGTGGCGCGTGGGAGGAGATCCCTGCACTGGCCTTCGTTTCGTAAGGGGGGAGGAGGGCTGTGGTGTGCTTTTTTTTTTGAAGCGCAAAACTGCTAGAAAGGCTCATTTGTTTTAAAAGGAGGGGAAAAGTCCTTTGGAAACCCGGCAGCACCGGGGTCTGCCCGCCGGAGACCTGCGTGGGGGGAAGACACCAGTGCCATGCTGGAGGCCCCTGGACGGTCTGTGCACGTAGCAGAGCACGATGCCTTTCCTGCACGGCTTCCGCAGGATCATCTTCGAGTATCAGCCCCTGGTAGACGAGATCTTGGGGTTGCTGGCGATACAGGATGCGGAAAGGCAGAGCGCCCTTGAGAGGTAACTAGACGGGGCTAAGCGCCCACTTTGGCCGCTCAGTGATGCGGCCGAGGTCAGACACAGCACTGGCTGGGAACAAACCCCTGTCCCGGTGAGCAGCTCATCCCACGGACCCTCCTCTTGCTGCCGTTCTTTGGGAACGTGGGGGTGGAGCAGAGCAAACACGGGGACTACGTGTGCTCCCCAGGAACAGCCCTTTCTGCCTGACCCATGGCAATAACACCTAAACCGGGGTTCAGCTGTGACCCTGATGCTGCTGCGTAACCCCACAGCCAACAGGTTAGAGACCTGGTGGATTACAAGATAAGAGGGGAGACTGGGGATGTTTTCTTCTTCCCTGGTGCTACTTTGACCCTTGCACACCCCTGAGATGTGTGCCGTTCAGCTGAGTAACTGGTTGGTTTTGTGTGTCTTAAGCCCTGCCTGCCTGGGCAGCGACAGGAGCCAGCTCTCAGCCGTGAGACGAGTCTTGGAAAGGGAGACCCACTCCCCGTTTTATCAGGAAGGCGTGAGCTACGCCCTGCTGAAGGTCACCGAGCTGGGGCTCGTCCCTGCCGCAGAAATCCTCCTGGAGTTCGGAGCTGACCTCAGCTTTGAAGGTAAAGCTGGTGAGGAGGGGGCTGGGCCTGGGTCTGTTCTTCGCGCTGGCCAGGAGGAACCAGCTGGTGAGAAGCTGCCCTGGGAGGCGGAGACAGCTGGGGCAGGAGGAGGGGGGTGCTGCCAGCTCAGACCCCCACTCTGCTGGGATAGCGTGGGTGCGCTTTGTGGCAGCCCTTGTCCAGACCCAGCCGCAGGGATGGACTGGGGGATGGCCAGAGCCTCGGGGGCCAGCTTGAACCTCTGAGGACTTTTGCCAGAGATGGAGCCATTGCAAAAGCAGGACCTGGGGTGTCTGTGACAGCCCTGTTTTCACGGGCATCACTCTGTTCTCAGGGCCCTCCCCAGCTGCCCCCTTCCACTTCTGGCAGGTGTCGGGGCCGTTCTGGGGAAGCCCTTAGTTCTCTCTGACTCTTGTGTTTTTGTCCTCAGATCCAGTCACCTACTACACCCCCCTGCACATCGCAGTGCTCCGCAACCAGCCGGATATGGTGGAGCTCCTGGTGCGCCACGGGGCTGACATCAACCGCAGAGACCGGGTACGGGCTTAGCTGCCTGGGCACGGCCAAGCTGAGCCCCCTTGAGATTTAGCTGCAAGGGACTGGCCTGTGGGGACAGCCCTCCCTGCTCCCCACCTCCCGGGCTTGGCTTTGCTTTGCATGCCGCTTCCCCTTGGCGACCTCCTGTGCCTGTTGTCCGTAGTGCTCCGATGCTGTGGCAGAAGTTCAGGTTGCCTTTGGCCGAGCCAACCTGCCTCTGCCGTGGAACGATGGGTGGGAGGAGGCTGGGGTAGGCAAACCTCTCCCTGTGGACACACCGGGGAAGGCTCACTTTCGTTTTTGGGGATGGGTTGAAATACGCTCTTATGTTGGCCGTGATGAAGCCTCAGCAGTGACTCTCCGGAGGCACTCACAAATAGTCTTTAATACTTACTAGTGTTTTTTTTCCTCTTGCTCTGTGCAGATCCATGAGAGCAGTCCCCTCGATCTGGCCAGCGAGGAGCCTGAGCGGTTGCCGTGCCTCCAGCGGCTGCTTCAGCTGG